TATATATATATATATATATATTTTTTTTTTCCAAACGATAGATTTATAACTAAAACACATACTTACAACCGACTCATTAGCCGGAAAAGGGGAGGCCTACCAACATCCAAAGGTAGCCTAAATACCACGACACAACACAACAAAAAACACACAAAAACTCCCCAACGAGAGAATACAAACTCCCCAACGGAAGAATCTAACACTCCCCAACGGGAGAATCAACACTCCTAAAACTAAAATCGGGGAAGAAAAGCACAAACGCACTCTTACAACACAACACGAACACAAACACAACAAAATAGATAAATAATGGCCCTTCCCACAGCAGCTAAACCAAACAGAACACCAACCAATGACGACGACACCTACGGGCGGTCACCCATACGGACAGAGACCTAGTCCAAGTCTCAAAGCCAGAAACTGTAGATAAATCGCCTAACCAGGTTCAAGACTAAAGGACTGTGACCCTCGCCCAGGTAGACAACCCATATACCCGCGACCGGAGAAAAACACTACAAACTCCACCTCTCAAATCCCGACGACCCGGGCCCAGGACACAAGATCCGACCCGACCCGACTCCTCCACTGCAACCCAACCAGCCCAATGGCGGAGAAGAACGGAAGAAGAGAGGAGAGTGGAACCGCCCAATCTCGGCCCCGACCACCACCAAGAAGAGGATTGGAGCCACAACCGCCTCGCACAGCCTCATCGGAAGCCTGCCGCCGCCTAGACGACGAGGAATCGCCGGACCACATCTTACCTTGACAACCTAGAAGGAAGCGAAAACAAGGAAGAAACCGTCGCGTCGCTCGAAGAAGAGGCCGCCACCACATCTGACGGTTCTCTGGAAGCTAGCCGTACAGCACGGTGAAGGCCGCCGTCATGGTGGCCCGAAGGCCCTGCTGAGGGAAGGCAGAAATTGCTCCGATTTAGGGTTTCTGTGGAATTGGGAAAAGGTCGACTGTGGAATTGGGGTTAAGACCGAGTTGTCCTTCCCTAAGTTCTGGTGGTGGCCCAGTTCGCCTTAAATATACCATCAGAGTGTGCACACGGTACCGGCCAGAGTGTCCGGGAGATTACAGTTACCGGCCAGAGTGTCCGGGAGTTTCAATTTACTTATACATACCAGTTCTGTGATACATTATTATTATTGCTGTTTACTTTAGAATAGGTTTTTATGGAGTACAAGTGGACCGTAATCACCCCCACTTTATATTTTTAGATGGCAGGGTCGGCGGGCAGGCGTGAATCCAGCTGTGGTGGTTGTGGTCGCGGAGATGGCACAGCGAGCTGTTTCAGGGACATTTGTTATCATGTTTTGTATAACTCATATAACCATGCATTTTCAGACTTTCGTTATGCATGCTTTTATTCGAACTTGCATGTCAGTACTTTCAGACTTAAATAATTTATCCAGTTCGACAGTACGAACGAGACCAGTTAAAATGCAAGATTCGATAAAAGATTTAAATATGATTTTCTTAAAGTCTAAACCAGTTGATAGACCTAGTTAAGGAAAACATATTTACAAAGAAAATAAGTTTTTAGCAGCATCCCGAGATAAGTTTGCAAATGATTGCGAAAAATTTATAAGCGTTTTCGAAGGAAGAATTTGCAAAAAATTGGCCCTAAGTGGCGGGGTGTTGCAAGAACAAAGATAATGAGTCAAATTATGGTCTCTTGAATACTATTATAAAGCCACTCAACGGGAATGGGGAGTCAATGTGGTGCATTGTTACCGGGAAGCAAATTTTGCGGCAGATTGTTTGGCGACATTAGCTCATTCATTTCCTAATGGGTACCAGATATTATTTGATCCACCCCTACAAGTGAATCAGTGGTTACTACACGATGTTGTAGGCGTCGTTCATCCACGGAACATCACTATCTAGAGGTTTCTTAGGCTATGGCCTCCGTTCTTTGTACCAAAAAATAAAAAATAAAAAATCTTCATACACAAACCCATTTCTTAGAAACATTCAAACTTCAACTCATTTGGATTTATAAATTAATAAAAAAAATGACTCGTTTTCTTAAACACAAATTAAATATCACATCTTTAACTTACAACGGATAAATAATTTGATAAATTTGCAAACACTTCAACTCCGAGTTTAAAGTCTGGAAAAAATGAAGTCCAACTCCCATTTGCATTCTCATAACAACAACAACAACAATAATAATAAAAAATAGAAACCATACAGACAAATCATATTCATGCAAGAAATCAGATGAATACAAAGAACTCAAAAACCTTTGATGTCAATCATATGGACGTGCCATCGCCGATGAGGATGAGATCGAGTAACCCCAATCGGACGAGGTCCTCTCCAAAGGCGGCGGAGGTGCCCACTGCGGAGTCAATTGACTTCGTCCTCAGCAGCGAGGACGCGAATCGAAGTTGAGGATGGTGGTGGGGCTATGGAGGGAGGGGGCTTTGCTGGATTCTCGAACATTTTGGAAAAAAAATTAGATAAGAAAAAATAGGGGAGAAATTGGAGTTTTGTTGTCTGAAAAAAATAGAAAGTAAGAAAAGAAGAAATTTAGGGGTCAACGAGAGAGATGAATGATAGGGTTTTTTGGGGTTAGAATGATGATTTGAGAATCGCAGCGAGGGAAAATTTCATGCTACATGTAGGGGCACTGCCCCCACATACTTTTTTACCATTGATTTCACACACACCCATGTGGGTGGGTGTGTGATTGTGTGCATATCAATGGTAAAAAAGCATGTGAGGGCACTACCCCCACATGCAGCATCGACTCTACCCGCAGCGAGAGGGGACGAGGCACTTGTAAATCATCCTTTTATTAAGCTAGGAGACGATGAGAAAGGGAAAATAATTGTTCGATTAGGGGCTAATAAAGAAAACTGTCAAAACTTTTTTTTTTCCAATCATAATTTCATTAAAAAAACTCAAAGAAATGTACATCCGGTAATAAAATATCAATGGGGAAAGCACCATCAGGTCCCCCTTACCATGACCACATTGGTCTTCCACACACAACACAGACACTAACATATGAACTGAACACAAAAATACAGAAACAGACTATTGCAAGATCCTATCCACCATTGCTCACAAAAACGCATGACTGGAAGTGAGCTTTTATATACTTGATATCCTCAGCTACAACAGAGATCTCTACAGGCACTATGTTGTCAGTTTTAAGAGCTTTGCCTAAATCACCATTTTGAGTGTTGACAATCACCTGCTGCCAGCCTTGGGTTATACCTTGCAGTAGCCAATCTCTGATTGTAATTATCTCCTCCTCCATGGATATTTTATGCTCGTCTGCACCCTCAAACTCCCATCTGCTCACAGTAGCACCTTCAATTTTTGCCAGTCCTCTCAATATTTTATACCCATTTGAGGATTCAGTAGTACTGGTAGCATTTGGAAGCTCCCCTACTCTCTGAGCCCTCAAGATCTCCTGGTGACTAGCATTTTCCTCTCCTTGGTGTACTTGCTCCTTGCATTTTTCCAACACATCTTCATATTCCAACCATTCTCCCTTAGCTTTTTCCACCACTTGCATCTCAGAGATGTTCTCTTGTTTGAAGATCCACCCGTTTCTTGTTTTCCACAGCCACCACATCACATAAGTAGATAATGAGATTCTGTTTTTGTTGTACTCAGTAACTGTGAGGCTGCATAAGTCCATCCACCAATCCTTGAAGCACATGTTTTCCTGATTTGTCTTCTTCCATGATAGACCAGCTAACTTCCATACTACTTGTGCCCTCCCACATCTGAACAAAACATGTTCTAGGTTTTTTCGTTCCTCACCAGCATAATATTCCATCAACATTCATGCCTTTTCTCCTTAGATTATCCTGAGTGCCCACTCACCTGTGCCAGCATCTACATATGAAGCTTTTAATCTTTTTCTTGACTGGTAATTTCCATAGCTTTCTCCACATCATTCTCTCCTTCTCTCCCCTTGTACTAGTCCCAACATTTCCCATCATTCTCTCCTTGTTCTGCATAATGACTTGGTAGGCTCCTTTTACTGTGAACACTCCCTTTTTGTCTGGATGCCACACCAGTTTGTATTTTCATCCCCTCTTGCTAATATGTATCTTCAGAATACTCTTTGCCACCTCTGGGTTGAAAGTTTGTTGGATGAGCTCTCTATCCCAGGTCTTTCCATCTTCTAGCATTAGGTCAGCCACCTTTATAAGTCTCTGCTTATCACCTTCAAAACAATTGTTAGGTTTGAAATTTACAACATCAGGTATCTAAGGGGATTTCCATATATTAATAGATAAGCCATTACGCACTTGGTACCTCAACCCCAAACTCAAAGCACCCCTAACCCCCAACCAACTCTTCCACATCCAAGAATCACTATTCCTCTTTTAATCTCCAAAAATTTTGGTTATGGAAATATCTCCCCCTGATCACCTTACTCATTAAAATGTTAGGCTTAGTGAGAATTCTCCATAGTTGTTTGAGAGTAAGAGCTTCATTTAGTGCAAGAAAATCTCTAAAACCCAGCCCACCTGAATTCTTATCCCTAGCCAATTTCTCCCATTTTGCCCAGTGTATCCTCTCCCTACCCCCTTCATTTTTACCCCACTAGAATTTAGCAACCTCAGCACAAATATCAACACACACCCCCAAAGGAATATTAAAAACATACATAACATAGATAGGCAGGGAATTCAAAACTATTTTAATCAAAATTTCTTTCCCTGCTTCACTTAGAAATTGATTTTTCCAACTAGAAACTTCAGCAATCACACACTCCTTAACAAAACTGAAAGTATCTTTTTTACTCCTACCAATACCTAAGGGCAAACCTAAATACTTGGACTTTTTTGCTACCTGAATACCATGAAATAAGTTACAGATATCCAATCTAACAGCCTCTGAGGTATTTGCATAGAAAAAAATGCTAGACTTGTGAAGATTCACAGCCTGGCCAGAGGATTTACAGTAAGCATTAATAATAGGCTTAATTGCAAATAAAACTATAACCTTTTTGAAATTTGTAATTTAATGCACCACCTTTAAAATTGGCAAATTTATACACCACTTTTACAATTTTTTGCAATTATATGCATCGGGCCAAAATCGGGCTTTTCTTGCTGACATGGGCTGGTGACGTGGCGATTTTGCTGACATGGTTGATGACTCTAATTTAATTTAATTTAAATCGCAACATTAGAGTCACCAGCCATGTCAGCAAAATCGTCACGTCACCAGCCCATGTCATCAAGGGAAGCCCGATTTTTGGCTCGATGCATACAATTGCAAAAAATTGTAAAAGTGGTGTATAAATTTGCCAATTTTAAAGGTGGTGCATTAAATTGCAAATTTTGAAAAAGTCATGATTTTATTTGCAATTAAGCCTTAATAATATTCAAAAACAATAAAGCATTGGCCATATCAGCCTGACAAAAAGTCAAGGAGTCATCAGCAAAAAATAAATGAGAGATAGTAGGGGAAAATTTGCTGATTTTTAACTCATGGAAAGAGTTTGAAATGATAGCCTGGTTAAGTAAATTAGATAAAGCTTCAGTCAAAATAATGAAGAGATAAGGAGAAAGGGGGTCCCCTCGCCTTAATCCCTTGGTTGGCACTAAATTTCCTTGGGCTTGGCCATTTAGATTGAAAGAAAAGGATGATGTGGTCATACAGGCCCATATCCAAACCAAGAACTTATCACAAAAACCCATGTGCCTACAGACTTTAATAAGAAAACCCCACTCCACCCTATCATATGCTTTTTCCATATCTAATTTGAGAGCAAAAAAAGTTTTTTTTTTTCCTTTTTTCTTACTATTCAAGAAGTGAATACACTCATTATCTATAATTACATTATCCAAAATTTGCCTTTCTGGAACAAAGGCAGACTGAGATTGAGAGACACAAGTACTAAGCACATTATTGATTCTGTTAGCCAAAATTTTAGCTATTAACCTATAAGTAATAGTACATAAGCTAATGGACCTGTAATTAGTAATAAATCTGGGATTTTTGGTTTTTGGAATAAGGGTAATGACCGTATGGTTTGTGGCTTTAGGAATACAACCTTTTTGGAAGAAATTAGTAATAGCTAAACAAAGGTCTTTTTTAATAATATTCCAAGTGTTTTGGAAAAAAAGAGGGTTGAAACCATCAATACCTTGGGCCTTTTGAGGATCCATATCCCATAGAGCATTTTTGATTTCTCCCTCATCCACCATTCTAGTAAGGCTCTGGTTCATTTCCATGGTGATTGTTTTTTGCATACCTCTCAGGATATCCTCCTCATCCCTAGCATCTAAAGATTTGAACAATTCCCCAAAATGTGACAAGACTTCATTAAGAACTTCTGTACTGCCCCACATCTGCCTCCATTTTTTTTTCTCCAGATTATGCAGGCTGTTACTGACTCTTCTTTGTCTCACATAGGCTTGGAAGTATCTTGTATTTTTGTCACCTTCCCTGAGCCATTGAATCCTTGCCTTTTGTTTCCATTACACCTTTTCATCCTTGTATGCCTGGTGTACTTTTTCTTTGCATGTTTCCCACTCCTCCCAGTTTCTACACCCCCCTTGTTGGCCTAACTTCTCTAATTTCTCATTGCAGTCCTTGATCACCCTAGCAGAGCTTGTAGTCAGACTGCTTTACCATTTGAGCAATTCATTTTTCACCAGCCTAAGCTTTCTATGAAATTTGTAAGCCCTGGTCCCAACACAGTTTGATCCCAAGCCCTTTTAATACACTCTCCAAAACCAGGGGCTTTGACCCATCTGCCATCAAAGAAAAATCTCTTGTGCATATGATTCTCCCCATTCTCAGAATCCATGATCAATAAGCAATGGTCTGACGAAATCAGAGGCACATGTAACACACAGGTATTTGGGAACTGCAGGCTCCACTCAGGGGATACAAAAACTCTATCTATTCTTTCTTCCACAAAATCACTTCCTTTCCTAAGATTTGACTAGGTAAAAGGGTGCCCTATGGTAGGACAATCCACTAATCCTAGCTTTTGTGTGAACTACCTGAAACTCTGGAAACTAGCCTCCCTTTTATAAAGCCCTCCCCTCTTCTCCCCATTGTGCAATATATCATTAAGGTCTCCCCCCATGAACCAGATTTTACCCCACTTAGGTTGATTCCTACATAAATGATCCCACTGGAGTTGTCTTTCCCCTTGATTAACACTAGCAAAAACAAAAATGGCCCATAATTTTTCATTATTCCCCTTCACACTAAAACAAACTTCAAAACTGAAGGAGTTTGATGAAATTTCAAAGATATCTACCCTATCAGACCAACATAATAATAAACCCCCTTTAGAGCCCATTGGACTAATATATTCCCATCTAGACCCTACGTTTAAATTTTTGCATACAGTTTCAACAAAGGATTTTTTTCTTTTTTTGTTTCACATAAAAAGGTAAAAACGGGGAGGTAGGCTCTCATGTTAGCCTTAAACTAGGGAATCGTAGAGGGTCCTCTCAGACCTCTACAATTCCACACCAGTACCCTCATTTGGACACTTGGGACCATTTAAGGCTGGTTTCCTCCACCTTTTTAGACTCAGAAGTTTCCCCTACCTTCAGTTTTTTAAGATCAGACTCACTCTTAGCAACCTCTATTTGCTCTTCATTAGACACTTTTCTTTTCATATTAAGTCTCCCTATCTCAGTATTCACCACTGTATTTTGAGTATCAAACCCCTTACTCCTGGTAATTCTAGTAAAAGTTCTTGAATTTTTAGGAGAAAACATTTTCTTGTTATCTACTTTTATGGCCACCTCCACTAACTCACAAGAATCCATACTCTGGGTATTGACCGCATCCAGATCCATACATTCTGTAGGAACCACCTTAATCACATTACCCCCTTGACTATTTCCCTCTCTTCCCTCTACAAATTCTAGCCCTCTCTCTGGACTCTCCTTCCTACTACAGTTATCCTCACCAGCAGACCTGAGCTCTCCCCCCTTATTTTGACTTCCCAATGACTCTTTATGGCTAATACTATTACTAGGTTCCCCCTTTCTCTCCCCTGTGGTTTTTCCTCTACTAGAATCAGAAGTAGGTTTCTGACTGTTAGAACTTTGGATATTTTTTTCTCTACCCTCACACAACCCCTCAAAAGACCCCCTGAGCCAGTCCCTATATTGACGTGATTTTACCTTGTTCCTCTAAATATCTGACTTCTTGATCTCGCAGGACTTGTCACTGTGCCCAACTCTCCCGCAGTAGAAGCAGAATGTGAGGAGATTTTCGTATCTGAAGTCAATCCATCTTTCTTCTGTCCCTAGCTTGATA